TCCTACTTTCGGATTAAAGCAAATCGAGCAACTCTCTTCCTCGCCCCACTTTGCGGGCCGTGGCTGCGGCGCAGCCCTCACCTTCAACATTGGCGGCATCACGCTGACCGCGGTCGTCGAGTCAGACTGGGCCTGCGCGGGCGTTGCGCTGGACGGCTGGGCCGCCGGCGATGGCCGTCTACTCGCCCCTGCCGGCTTGGCCGGTGGGCGCGCACTGTCGCTCAACTGCGCGCGCTGAAGAGATGCTCTGGCGTTCTCATGTAATTTAAGCTCTTCTCGATATTGATTATTCTGATCAATCATCGTCGCAGCTACAACCTGGGCGTTGGCCGCTTCCAGCCTGGCAGTTTGAAGTTGTTCTTGGAGCTCCTGTCTCTCTCGTGCAGGCTGTGGCGATCCTCTCTCCTTCTATTCTTGCCGCCGCAACAGCAGCGGATGCGGTCGTGGCATCACCAGACTGACTGTTTGCCGTCATAACGGCTTGTCGTTCTGAGGCTATCATCTCAGCATATATCTGTCCTCGGCTTCTTCGTCAGCCGCGCGCTGCTTGGCAGCCGCGGTTTGGTGGGGCATCTGTTCCGCCAGTTCTTGTTCCCGCTCTCTGACCGCCTGGGCCATTGCGAGCCTCTCAGCCTCGAGCGTTCTCCGAACGTCCTCAACGACTGCATTCATTTCTTCTGTCCAGTCGGGCTTTCTCGGCCCGCTGGGCTTCGCGGGCCAGAAATGATTGCTGTTTTGGCCTCAACAAATCTAGCCTGATTTTGCATCGGCTGGGTGAGAAGGCACGAGCAATTGTGCTCTTCCATCGGCATGCAGTCTACACGCAACCACTGATTGCTACAATTCGGGCACACATCTGAGCAATTTCTACATGCTGGGCGCCTACAGGCTCCATTCGGCTTGCGGGCTTTCCCGGGGCACCTGTTCTCCGCCTGGGGCGGGCAGTTGGGGCTCCAGTTCCAGCATGTCTCACGCGTGGATATCGCGCTGTTGCTCCTCGAAGTGGATCGAGCTCCAGATCTGGGTATCTTGGGCCTTCCCCGGCTCGAAGCATTCGATCTGGGACGTATGTGCGTACTCTCTGGCGGTCTAGCCGCATCTCGAAGCCCCCCGCCCCTCTCGTCTTGTCTAACCAACTCATCCAGCGAAGCCGGGGGGGGTGATCATTTCATCATCCTCAACTACAACGGGTATCGATGGTTGCCAATCGCCTGCGGCGACGGCAGCTCGATGAAACCATTCCTGAAGCGGGGGATCATTCAAATCATAATCCTCGTTCTTTTGCTTCTTTGAGTTGAGGAGCGGGAGTTCGTCCTGTGATCTCCCGGCCACGTTTCGCTTTAGTCTGACATTCCATTTCCATCTCGACCGCCTGGGGCGTCAGGTCACCTTCTCAATGTTGGAGTCTGGTATTGCAGAAGCTTCCCCGAGGGCTTCCACTTGATCGTAATCAATTGTATCCTGCCCAGGGGGCCACCTCTCGTCTTGGACGGGGTGGTCTGCATCCATTATCGAGGACAAATCTCGGCCAAGTGACACTTGAAAGTTGGCATACTCAATGTCTTCCTCCATGGAGTTAATATCGTTTCCATCATCAAACTGTTCATCACTGTCTTGGCCGGTCTGTCCGTTCAGGGCTATCGGGATGGGATGAGTCCCTTGTGCGTTTCCCCATCCGTCTGGGGCGGCGGGGCACATGCCTCTGGACCCTTCAGCTTCTCCCGACCCACTGGCTTGGCCAGCGGCCGGCACAATAGTCCGCATAGCAATCGGGCTGGAGTATATTGTTTCCGAAGATACGGCAATTAACGACGAGAGTGCTCCTCGTCTTATCTTTGCTGTTGTGCCGTCCCGCCTCGTCGGGTCGGGGGTCTGTTCACGATCACCGATCGGGATTCGAGAGGGAGAATCGTCTCTGGACAAATCTATAACATCTCCACTGCTCCTCCCACGAGAGACCCGAGTGGCGATAGAAGAAGAGGGAGGGCGGCCCCTCCCCGGGCCGCCGTCCTGTGATTCTTGCCCGTCATGTTGTACAACCTGTGATGCGAGCTCGGCTCTGGCGGGCAATTCGGCTGCCTCATCAAAGCTCATCCCTGTTGCGACTTGGTCGCGGGTTTCGGCTGATAACCAGTCTTTCCTCTGAGAATCGGGGTAAGATGACAAAGGAATTAAGGTCTCATGTTGACTCTGCTCAGTAGTAGAGGATACGGGATGAGACATCGATGGAACTACAAGTAACCGTTAAGCAATTGTACTCAAGAGTGGGAAGGGAGGAGGCCGGCCGGCCGACGACCGACGACACGCGGCGGCCGAGGGCAGGCGCGCTCCTTTTCTACCCTGTAAGCACAAATAGCTGCGGTGCAAAGCCGCAGTGTCAGGGTGTAGCAAGGAAGGCAGCGAGAAAGGCAAGTGTAAGATGAGGCGGAGAGGAGCATATTTATTAGATGTCCTGACACATGTTCCACATGTATGCTACGATGAACGTCAATGATGCCGATATTCGGTTACTGGTGTCGGTTGCTGTGTTATGTTCTAAACTGTTGTGTTCTTTCTGTATGGTATTGGTGTGTGTATGTGTTCGTGGTGGCCGCTCTCGGTGTATGGTCTTGATGCCAGGGGCTTGTGGCTGCTCCTCATGTGTGCCAGTGATACCCGCCTTGATGTATCTTACCGGCGTCTGCTCTTGATATCAATTCTTGATGTCTGGCTATTGCTATTTTCCGGGTTGATGTCTGTTGTCCATGTTTGTTGCTGATGTATGTTTAAGACGGGTGGTCTGTTCATTACAAACTGCGTGCGTCATTGCTGCATGTTATTGATATGGGTTCTTGGTGTATGTTCTTGGTGCATGTTCTTGATAGCTGGCCTTGACGTCGGTGAAGTATGTCTGCTCGTGATGGCTGTTAGTGATTCCTGTTGCTGACGGGCCACGCCTGGTACGTATGTCATCGGTGCGTGTTACTGCTGTATGTCCTAGATGTATGTATGTAATGGGTGTTGTTACTGTTTGCTCGTGGTGTATGGCAATGCGGAGCTCTGTCTCGTATGTTATTCACGTCTGCTCTTGCTGTATGCTGTTGCTGCGGGTTCTTGGCGTCTGGATGGAATAGCCGCCTTGGTGCGTTCCTGACGGATGGTATTGACGAGCGTTCGTCCATCCTTCGGAGCAGGATTCTCAAGGCGGGCTTCTCAAATATCGCTCGGAGGTGCCATGGGCCTGGCGGCCGCGCCATGCAGGGCTGCCTTCCCTACGATCTGACACCCTCCCCGCGTGTCGGGCGGGGAACTCCACCGCTGCTCCCCCTTGGAGGCGTTCAGAAACAAGATGTGCTTTCATGATGGGTCCTGTTTTAAGGAAGGTCACAAAGTCCATCACTGCGCAGGTTGGTCATGTGTATGCCTCCAGGAGGATGGGGAACCTTTTGCTATAATCTCGGGCAAAGTAGGGGCCAAGCTGCCACAGACGAGTCCTGCTTCGGAGCATGTTGGGTTTTTGGCCAGTTGCAAGTATGCGAGCTCGGCGTCAGAATTCTGCACGGACTACAAAGGGCTCGTGGCCGTGAACGAAAGGCCCCTGGAAGTTGTTTCTGGCAGAAGGTCGTAGTATGCTGGACCCGTTCTCCCTGCTCTGAGCCACCTGCCCAGAAAAGACGCTCTTGCTGTCACAAAAGTGAAAGGTCATCAGAGTGCTGATTGTTTTGAGCCGTTCTCTGTGGACTGGTATAAGGCTAAAGGCAATCATCTGGGCTGATGTGGCTGCTAAGGCGGCTGCGATGACCCATTCCCGTCCGTCGGAGAACGAGCTTTTTGAGTTTAGTTTAGACACGTCCAGCCTCAGGAGTTTTCTGATTTACGCGGCCAAAGCCCTGTTGCTTTGGTCAAGTCTTGCGCCAGCCAGGCCCAGCAGCCGTCTGGGAAGGGTAGGCGCCCCCCGCGCTGGTGCTGCCAGTGCCGCCGCTGCTGGAGGCAGTGCCGCCCGTGCCGCCACCGTCAGCGCCGCCGATGAGGTGCTGGGCGTGGCTGGCCGGGGAGATCCAAGTTCCTCCCCTCCCCCTCGGGGTGCCCCCCCTCCTCCTGCCCCCGCCTCCGCTGGGGCCCCTGTGGGCCCGTCCACTGCTCCTTCTGTTGGAGGGGCGCAGGCGCCCCAGAGAAGGGATCGTGGCCACGAATTCAGGTGGATTCGCGGTCTGTGGGCTTGCACGCGATGTCTAGCTCGTGTGCGTTCGGACCCTCCGCAGCCCGCTGCGGACTGTCTAGGTTGCAACCCTGTGCTGTGTGCCCTTGTGCAGGAGCCTCAGGGGCACAAAATCCACCTGACGGGTACCCCCGACGAAGTCACCCTCTTCTGCTGCATGGACTGTGGCAGTGTCTCCGACGGAGTTAGGCTTGGTGGGATGGCGAAGGCCTGCAAGGGCGGGCCTTCCTCCAACCACACGCGTAGCAACCTCTCTCGGCTTAGAAGAGGCATCCATCCCAATAATAGGGATGTGTTGCTTGATGAGCTTGTGCCTCTTGCGGACTTCACCTGTGCTGTGGACGGCGGTGGTTCGGCTTCGACTGGTGAGGTGGGGAGTTAGTCGCTGGCGTCCTTCCTTCCTGGGGTAGGGCTGCTAGTGAATTCCTCTCTTTCTTGCTGGTCTTAGCCTTTGCGATGCAACGTGTCAAATCAAACCGCTGCTCCCCCAAAACGCGCTTCGACAAGACATCCGAGGAGCGAATCCGGGCCGTGGCCACGCGGGCCCCCCGCACGAGGCCCAGAACCGCGGCCAAGGGTGGACATCGGGTAACTCGGTGTGCGTTGCTCGGGGATGGACAGACCTCCCTTTAGTAAAACGTGCTTAGTGAAAACGCCCTGAGGCCCAAACCTGGCGGGCGCAGACCTGGAAAATAACGGCCACTGCGCCCTCTCGAGAACCGAAAACGGACAATTCACTAATCGACGTGTCACTGTTGGGGGTTCTGTCCTCCCCCCAGTTGCTCTTCTGGGTGCCCTTGTCCGGAAATGGCCGCCGCTTCAGAAAGAGGAGCTTCGACAGGTCGAACCAGGACTCCATCATCTTGGCGAGCAGCGTGGTGAAGACGCCTTCGGGCGCGATCGGGCCGAACATGACGAGGAACAGCAGGCTGAGCTTCACCTCGTTCATCTCTTCATCCACCTCGAACTCCTTCAACTTCATCTCCTCACCGATCTTGGCGGCAAGCAGCGGTGGGTGATGCAAAAACGGCACCTTCCTGAGAAGGCAGGGGGGCTTCTTCGAAGGGCGCGGGGGTTCTGAGAAGGCTTCGGGTAATACGGGAGGTCACATGAAAAGCCCCCCGCCCCACCCCCATCTCGCCCCGACGCCGTTGCGAGCGCCGCCGATGATCGAAGCGGGTGGCTCGTCCCCGTCCGCACGCCGTTTGGAAAACATTGGACAACCAGTCCCGACCTGACGTCCCCATGGTCAGATAGGTAGAGGGGTGCCGGATTCCACCAAGCGTTGATTGTGAATCGCCAGGTGATGAGTGTCGGGGCTGCGCCTCTACAGCCAGACACAAGTGTCAGGACGGAATTGGGGATGCAAGATCCATGGATGTCAGCGCTGAGACGACTGCGGCGCCCCAGCTGGAACCACTGACTGAGGATGGGCCGAACAGACGAGGATGCTGTGGCAGTCTTGGCGAAATACTGCATTCTTCCCTGAGGTCCGACATCGCGCAAAACCATAATGTCGCAGCGAATCGCGGCTGGACCTCCCGACTCCACCTCCCTGCGGCACTCCCCAAGCCCGACCGATCTGCGAAAATCTGGAAGACCAAAACGTGGCGACAACTCATCGCGCGACTTTTCACGACGCCAGTTCCAGCCATGCCATGCGCACAGACCTGCCCCCTGGACGTCGCGAGGAGGGCCACGAGGACCCCTCTCTAGGGTATAGGCGACAGACCCAGCCATAAGCAGCTTCGAGCATCGTGGGGCAATTGAGAAAGAAGAGGGGGCCCAGTTCCGCGCACGCCAAATACATGACGCTGCCCACAGACGCAAGGTCCACCTCCGAGATGGTCGAGCATAGTGATGGACAAGGGTGGCAGCTGGCGGGGGTGTATCGGCACACGTGACATGACAGTGGACATCTACAGTTGGAAGAATATCGGACAGCATGCATAACTATGATGGATAACTACCGCGATGGACTACACACAGTCTTGCGTAAAATGAAGGACCCTCCTTGGGAGAAACGGTGTGAATCCCACCAGCCGTTTGGGCGTAGGTGGTCTAGAGTGTTTCCTTCGTTGCCCCTCCTAATTCCCTTTTTCGGGAAAAAGGCTTTATCACTGTTCCTCTTAAGAAACACCCCCTCCCCCAGGCGACGGGTAGCCAACCCAGAACCATGCGGGCACCCCCTACCATCCCTTGTAAAAAAGAACCAAACAAACCACGCTCCGCCTCCAAATTCTGAGCATGCGCAGCCAACCCGATGCGGCCTCCCCCCAGCATCCGTGTCAAAAAACGATACAGAATACACTTGGTTGGCGGCGGCGGCGGCGGCGGCGGCGGCGGCGGCGGCGGCGGCGGCGGCGGCTGCGGCGGCTGCGGCGGCGGCGGCGGGGGCGGCGGAGGCGGCGGAGGGGGGGCGGCGGCGGGGGCGGCGGCGGCGGCTGCGGCGCGCGGCGCGGCGGGCGGTGGTGGCAGCGGCTGCGGCGGCAGCGGCTGCGGCTGCGGCGGTTTCGCAGCGGGGCGGCGGCGGCGGCGGGCGGCGGCGGCGGCGGGCGGCGCGCGGCGGCGGCGGCGGCGCGGCGCGGCGGCGGCGGCGGCGGCGGCGGCGGCGGCGGTGGGCGGCGGCGGCGGCGGATGCGCCCCCAGTAGCTGCCCATCCGAAAGCGACAACTGAGCCTGCTGAGGCTCGGGCGCGGCTCGGGTGCTACGTCTGTGTTGGGAGGGCGGGTGGGGGTGAGCGAGACGGCTTGCGGGCGGGGAGGGCGTGTTGATCACTGTTCTCTATTAATATACACCTCCTCCCCCAGGTGACTGGGAGCCAACCCAAGTCCATGCGGCCCCCCACCACCATCCCTTGCAAAAGACGATGCAAACCACACTCTGCCCCACCATCCCTTGTAAACAACAATGCAACACACACACACACACACACACACACACACACACACACACACACACACACACACACACACACACACACACACACACGGGCAGTACGGAAGACCGGAGCACACACCACACACACACACACACACACCACACCACACAACTACACACCACACACACACACACACACACACACACACACACACACCACCACACACACACACACACACATACCACACAAACACACACACCACACAACACACACACACACACACACACACACACACCACACACCCACACACACACACAAGCACAACACCACACACACACACCACACACACCACACACACACACACACACAACACACCCACACACACACACACACAAAGAACACACCACACACACACACACACACACACACACACACACACCACACACACACACAACACACACACACACACACACACAGGACACACACACACAACACACAACACACACACACACACACACACACCACACACACACACACACCCACCACCCACCACACACCACACACCACCCACCTCCCACCACACACAAGCACACGGCCCACAGCCCACAGCACACGGCATACAGCACACAGCACACAACACACAACAAACGACACACAACACAGAACACACAGCACACAAACAACACACACACACACAAACAACACACAACACACACGCACACGCACGCACGCACTCACGCACGCACACACGCAAACACACACACAAACACAAACACACACACACCACACCACACACACACACCACACACCACACACTGCCTCAAATCAGAGCATGCCCAACAACTTCCGATGTGGCCCCTCCCCCTCCCTGTCAACCAAAACATACAAAAGTACACACTTGGCGGCGGCGGCTGCGGCGGCTGCGGCGGGGGCAGCGGCTGCGGCTTCTGCGGCGGTGGCGGCGGCGGCGGCGGGGGCGGCGGCGGCGGCAGCGGTGGCGGCAGCGACTGCGGCGGCAGCGGCTGTGGCGGCGGCGATTCGGCAGCGGGGGCGGCGGCGGCGGCGGCGGGCGGCGCGTGGGCGCGCGGCGGCGGACGCGCAGGCGGCGGCGGGCGGGGCGCGCAACGGCGTCGCGGCGGCGTCGGCGGATGCGCCCCCAGTAGCTGTCCTTCAAGAGACGATTGCTCGCATCATGCTAGCGGCGCGGGCCAGGCTCGGGGGGGGCTAGGGTGGGGCCCCCCCTACGTATAATGTTGTTGGGGGAGCGGGTGGGGGTGAGCGAGACGGCTCGCGGGCGGGGAGGGAGACTTTGGACCCCTCCCCCTACCCCCTCCCCTGGACCTGGACGGGGGGGTCCCCGACGCGTTGGAGCGTACAAAACGGCCTCGGCGAGGAAGCCAAAATCACTGGTTTTACCAAGGTCTTGGCCCCATTTTGGCCTCCTGGGGGGGAGGCTACTTTACGACCCCCCCCTCTCCTGTGGCCGATCTCCTCCAAGGTGGCCCCAAGAGGCGCCCAGGAGGCCCCAAGAGGCCCCGAGATGGCCCCACGATGGCCACATGTGGCCCCAAGAAGCCCCCAAGAGGCCCCCTGGATGCCCCGAAGAGGCTCCCAAGAGACTCCCACGAGGCCCCAAGAGACCCCCTCTGAAGCACCCACGACGCTCCAAGAGGCCTCGGCGAGAATGCCAACATCATTGGATTTACTTCGGTTTGACCATATTTGGGCCTCCTGGGGGGGGCAGTGCTTCAGATGACTCCAAAAACGCCTGGGAGAGCCCAAGATGACCTCCAAGATGGTTCAAGATATCCCAAGATGCCTCAAGATGGCTCCCACGATGCTCCAAGAGGCCGCAAGACCGCTTCAGGACGGATCCAAGTGGCCAGAGAGCTCCCCCAGGAGGCCCCGAAGAGGCCAACATCCTTCCCAAACCTTCGGAAAATCAGTATTTTGGGCTTTCTCGCCATTTCGCTTCCGATGGCTATCCGAAGCTTCAAGATGACTCCAAGATGGCCCAAGAGGGCTCCAAGAGCGCTCCCCAGGCTCCCAAGAGCGCTTCAGGAGGGCCCCAAGAGGCGCCCAGGAGGCCCCAGGAGGCCCCAACAGGCGCCCCAGAGGCCTCCAGGAGGCCCCCAAGCGACCCCCAAGAGGCCCCAAGAAGCTGTCCGAGGCACCCAAGACGCTCTAAGAGGCGCCCGGGACCGCCAAAAGGCCCCCAAGACGCTCCAAGAGGCCTCCACTTCGGGGGCCCTTCCTCTATGTGCTGTCCACTTCCCTGATCGAGGCACTTCCTCTGGGCATCGTTTCTGGATGGGTTGGGGGTTGCGCGTTTTTTTTGGTCGCGGCCACGAGACGACGGTCAGGCGGCGAGGGCAACGTCCGGGCCACGGGCGAAGCTAATTGCTAAGCAGAGGCGCCGGCCGGCCCACTCAGACGGCGGCCGTAGGCTGGGTGACGCTGAACTGGCTGGTGCACTGCAAGCTCGGGCACGTGCACTGGACAAAATGACCAGAATTCAAATGGCCATCGCAGAAGCCGCGCAGGGCCCGCGGACTTCGATGGGCAGGAAGTGAATCGCCGATGAGGCGCCAAACTCCAAACGGACGACCTGCGTACGCCGAGCCGGCAGAGCAGTCGTGAACCGTGGTGCAGCGCACTGGGGGGTTTGAAGGTGGGCCTGAGAGGCTGCCGTGACGCTGAAGGCTGAACCACTCAGCACACAGGCCAGTCCCACTTGACCGCATCACAGTGTCCGAGGGCGCCGTGCGACGGTGACCCGCCCAGCGCGCGCCGGCACGGCGCGGTCATTGGGAGTGGGAGGGCCCGCTGGCGTGGTGAGCATCGCCGGCGAGGAAAGAGATACACTGGAGCTGAGTTACCACGATGCGAGCCGGACCCAGTCAGAGGGTCTCCGGGAGCACAGGTTGAGCAATACCTCGGGGGGCACGCGGCGTTGGTTCGGGCGATGCGATGTAGTCGCATGGCGGTGTGCCGGGGGGGCTGCGACGTGAGAAGCAGGAGGGCCGCCAGCTACCAGACTGGCCACGCCCGCCGCAGGCGCATGCCACCCGGGCCCCGAGCCCGCCACCGTGAGCCACGTGGCCCTCCAGGGCCGCAACGAACCGCCGCAGGGGGGGGGAACCGGCCCCAAACAGCGATGGGCGAGGGCGGCCCTGGGAGGGGGGCGCCACCCCACTGTCGAGCAAGGACGTCGGCGGCCCCCGTCGCGCAGAGCGGGGGGCACCCGTCTGGCTCCAGCAGAGGGAGGCGGGGGGGGAGCCGCCTCTCCCCTTGCTCGGGCCCTCTCACACTTGGGGTGGGAGCAGCGGTTGGTCCAGGGGGTCGCAGCTGATCGCCGCTCAGGTCCGTGAAGATGGGTGCGTCCTTGAAGGTTGATCCTCGGGGGTCGCAGCTGATCGCCGCTAGGGTCGATGTTGCCAAAACTGTGACCTGCACAAGTCGATCCGCAGGCGCATTGGGGGGGGGCGTTCCAGTGGCCATCCCCTCACCACCAGCGGATGGGTGGCTGTCGTCGTCAGACAGCAAAGTGGGTCTGCCCGGGACCTGTCTGTCCTGCGG